AAGAAAGAAAGAAAGAAAGAAGAAAGAAAGAAAGAAAGAAAGAAAGAAAGAAAGAAAGAAAGAAAGAAAGAAAGAAAGAAAGAGAAAGAAAAAGAAAATTTAGGGCCAGGGAGATGGCTCAATGGAATAAGCGCTTCCCTGGCAAGTACAAGGGCCTGAGTTCAATCCCCAGTCCTGCAATCAATCAATCAATAAATAAATAAATAAATAAATAAATCTCACTGTTTTCTGTCCCCTGAGCCAGCCCCAAGGGAAGCAGGAAGAGCACCATCCCCACAAGTGCAGAGGGAGCAACATGGCAATGGGAGCCACAGGTGAGAGGCTGCTTCCTCAAACAAACCTCTCCTTGTTATTCCCAGATAATAAATAAAGAAACTGAGGCCCTAGGAAGTGGAAGAACTTCTCCAAGGTCACTCAAGAGCCCACAGATCCCTTCTCCAAGTCACTGTGCTGTCCTCCAAAAGCCTATTTGTCCCTGGGCCACATATACAACAGATGTATTCGGTCTTGGCTACTCTGGTTGGAATTTTTTTTTAATGGAGGAAGAAAAGCACACTAAGAGATTTCTTTTTCAAAGCCCTGTTTTTTCATGTTGAAACTGGAGCTATCCCAGCTGAGAAAACAGAGCCAGGTGCCCTTTGCTTTGGAATGCCACAAGTAGAGAGGGCAAACCCCAGCTGTAGCACATGCCAGGTGAGGAAAGTCACTTCACACAGCTGAGCCTTGGTCATCTCATCTGTAAAGGGGAGAAACAAGCTCCAACCCCCTGAAGTATTGTGAGGACTTGAAATGCTAGCATAGTGCCCTTCAGTCATTCTATATTGCTGAGGAACAAATGACCCTAAAATTTAGCAGCTTGCAACAACCAGCATCCATCACCTCATAAATTCTGAGGGTCAAGAACTCACCAGTGGGTTAATGGGGAGGTGCTGGCTCAGGGTCTCCACTGGAAATACAATCGAGCACCAGCCAGTGCTGCCAGCATCAGAAGGCTAAGCTGTGACTGGTGAGCCCACTTCCAAGTCCACTCAGTTCCTTAGTGACAGATGGCCGAGGGTTTCTCTCCATTTACACATGCACCGCTCTGTAAGGCTGCTCACCACTGCCATCTCATGCTTCCTAGAATGAATGACCCAAGAAAGAATATGTACTCCCAAGATGGAAGCTGCAGTGCATTTTATAATCTAATCTTGGAGTTGTACACTGTAACTTTGCCATATCCAATTAGTCAGACTAATTGGTACTATGTGGAAGCAAATGCAAAAGTGTATGAATATTGGGAACCACTGGGAAGCGGGCTCTGACAAGCCCCCAGCACACAGGAAGTACTTATTCACTAATAGGTGTGATTACATTCAAAATGATCATAGTCTTAATGGGAAGACAAGAAATGGACATGAAAAATGAGAAAGCTTGGCCAAAAGGAATGTGAGGCAATGCCCAATTACATGGTAGAAGAGGGTGTGCTACACAAAGGGATGTAACCAGGGAAGGTGCCCAGGCAGAGAACGAGGAAAGGGAGGGCAGTCCATAGAGGAGGCAAGTGAGGATGACTGGCAATATTGGCTGCCTTCTCACAGCTCACCTCCTCTTCCCTCTTCCCAGGCCCACCCCAAGGATGATCCACGCCAACATTAAAATGCCTTTCCCTTCACCAGTGAGTGCTCTAAAAATAGACATGTGGCTCATTTGGACCAATGAGAAATAAGGGGACAGTCTTCTGGGAAAGCTTTCCTCCTGGATGAGAGAATAGCTGAGAGGATAAGAACCCTTTTTACTACCATCCCCTTCCTTCCTGCTTGGCAGAGCTTCGCACTTGCTGCCTCAGCCATCTTGTGAGCACAAAGAGACTCTCCCCCAAGGCTTAGACTAGGGAAAGCCAAGGTCAGCAGAGACACTGTCCAGTTCCCAGACCAACCTTGGTACCATTTTGTTTTGGCTTCCTTGTTTAAAAAAAACATTGCAGCCCCTCTGTGGCCAGCTGTCTCTTCCTTGTACCCTAACTGATTCAGTGAGTGGCACACCCTAAGCCCCTG